TATATAAGTCTTAAGTGCTATTGCTATAAAATGGATGATAGGATGAGACGATATAGATGGACGGATGGATTGGACAATAGATAACAGATGCCAGTAAGTTGAAATACGGAGGAACTTTCACATCTGCAAATTTGGTTGGATCAAGTATAAAGCAGCATTTGGTTCTCTCGAGGCCGCCGCTAAAATTGGCTCTGGGAAAGCTGCATAGCCGACATGTCCCGTTCCCCCCCTCCCTCCCCTTTTGCTTCCTACCGAGATCCTCCCGCCTTTCTAGCCATCTCTATTTGTAAGGTTGCGCTAACGCTGGGCAACTTCGCTGGACGTTTCTCCCATGGACTTAAGTGTTGCCATTTGACCCCCTCTTTCTCTCTGTCTCTCTCTGTCTCTCTCTCTCTAGAACTGCCCTGAAGGAAGAGAGGCTCCTCTTGGTCCAGACCGGCTCCAGTTCGCCCTGCTTGGATCTCAGGTTTGCCATCTTCCCGGTCATTGTAAAATAAAACGATCAACATAAATTGGATCGCTGTTTGGAAAAAAAAAAAAACAATTCAAAACAATATTTTTATTTTTGGTTTGTTGTAACTGCAGCTTTTGGGGGCCATTTGCCATTAATCATTAACTTTTTATTTGTAAATTAGTCACCAGAGTGACTAACGCCCAACTGACTCCTCTTTGCCCATTCAAAGCGCTTTTAAAAATTAGCCGCGGGCGAGGAACTCATCCTTCTGGCACCCAACCGAGGCCTTTCGGCATTGTTTGGAGACAACCTTAGCATTAAAACAACAGCGGGCCAGCAACCTGCTCCGTTAAATCTCCTTTTCCAAAAGACCCTACAAAGTCATGCTAGATAGATCGGCAACTCCAAATTGAAAGTGGGTTGGACTAGAAGATCTCCAAGGTCCCTTTCCCGCTCTATTCTGATTGATTGAAGGAACTCCAGCTCTTAACTGAAAAAATCCTCCGATTTGCTGTTGCTTATTATAAAACCCTAAAATAGGGACGGGGTGGCTCAGTGGCTGAGTTTGTCGATGGAAAGGTTGGCAGTTCGGCGGTTCGAATCCCTAGCGCTGCGTAACGGGGTGAGCTCCCGTGCCTTGTCCCAGCTTCTGCCAACCTAGCAGTTCGAAAGCACATAAAAAAAAAATGCAAGTAGAAAAATAGGGACCACCTTTGGTAGGAAGGGAACAGCGTTCCATGCGCCTTTGGCGTTGAGTCATGCTGGCCACATGACCACGGAGATGTCTTCGGACAGCGCTGGCTCTTCGGCTTTGAAACGGAGATGAGCAGCGCCCCCTAGAGTCGGGAACGACTTAGCACACATCTGCGAAGGGAACCTTTACTTATTATAAAACCTTTAAAAAGAAACTTAAAAAGGGGGAGCAGCGGTGCTGATGTTGCCTATTTTTCGAGCTTAAAATTAACCAAGGGTCGATTTCCCGACGATGTGTTCGAGTTCCGTTTAAGGGATCTCTTCACGCATCCCCCATCCATTAAACCACCGTTCGAGCCAACCGCTCCCTTTCAGCAATCATTTAATCCTCCTCCTCCTCTTCTTTGATTCTCGCAGCCGTCTGGACAAGGGCCTGGCCAGCTTGGTCCGAGAGCGGAAGACCGACCTGGTGATCATCGAAGGGATGGGCCGGGCTATCCACACCAACTACCACGCCAAGCTGAAATGCGAGAGCCTCAAGCTGGCCGTGCTGAAAAATTCTTGGCTGGCCGATCGCCTGGGCGGGAAGATCTTCAGCGTGATTTTCAAGTATGAAGTCCCTCTCAAATCCTCCTGATAAAAGACCCCCCCCCCCCGAAGAGGTCGAGCTTCGGCTTAGCGAAAAGGACTTTGCACTAGTTACAATTTTAATTGTAAAAGAATGTATTTTTATTACCACAGGGAAAAAAAAAACGTGTTTCTCTCTCTCTCTCTTGCGCGCGCACACACACCCAAACACACACCTCTGTATTTATATTGTGCTTTTGTGACTTAAAAGAAAGCAGCCATCACTCACTCCGTGCGTTTTGTGTCTCTCTGAATTGGATGCGGTATTTGTGATGGCAGAAGTTTTGATTTTTTTTTCCTCCTGCTTTTTTTCGCCCCAGGGTTTTTGTGTGTGTGTGTGTGTGAGATGCTTGTATTGAAATGTCCCGAAAAGCTTTTTTTAAATCTATCTAGATATCGTATATATACCCTGTTTTCCCCCAAAATAAGACGTCCCCTGATAATAAGCCCAATCGGGCTTTAGAAGCGCATGGCAATAAGGCTAAGCACTTATTTCAGGGTTCAAAAAAAATAAGAAAGACAGGGTCTTATTTACGGGGAAACACGGTACATACTGGTAATTTATATTTTAGCTTAAATTTGAATATATATACACATACACACATATGCAAAAAACTTAAGAAGACGGATACACACACACATATATATAAAAATGTATAAGCTGCAGTTCCAAAATCAAGCACCGGAGGGCAGACTTTCCTTTATTTTTGCCTGTGTGGATGCAGTTCCTAAATTAACCATTTGATGGCAGATTTTTAAATGTGTTGGTGTATTATCTATACATTGGGATGACAGACCATTCTCAAAGTTTGAATCTGCACTTCCCAAATTCACCACTGGAGGGCAGGTTTTTGAATGTGTATAATACATAAACTGCATTACTAAAATTAGCCACTGGAGGGCAGTCTTTTCTTATCTATTATCTCTCACCTAAACTCTCATCTATATTATCCATCCATCCATCCATATCTCATATCACCTATCATCTATATTATCTATCTCTCACCTAGCATCTATTCTATCTATCTATCTATCTATCTATCTATCTATCTATCTATCTATCTCTACCTACCTACCTATCATCTACCTACCACCTAGCATGTTATCTCTATCACCTAATCTATCATCTATCCCTATCCATCCCTATCTATCCATCCATCTCATATCACCTATATCTATGATCCTATCTCTCACCTAGCATATCTATCATCTATCTATCTATCTATCTATCTATCTATCTATCTATCTATCTATCTATCACCTAATCTATCATCTATCCCTATCCATCCATATCTATCCATCCATCTCATATCACCTATATCTATGATCCTATCTCTCACCTAGCATATCTATCTATCTATCTATCTATCTATCTATCTATCTATCTATCTATCTACCTATCTATCACCTATCACCTAATCTATCATCTATCCCTATCCATCCCTATCTATCCATCCATCTCATATCACCTATATCTATGATCCTATCTCTCACCTAGCATATCTATCTATCTATCTATCTATCTATCTATCTATCTATCTATCTATCTTCTTTCCCCCCTCTATCTGTCTGTCTGTCTGTCTTTCTGTCTATCTATCTATCTATCTATCTATCTATCTATCTATCACCTATCACCTAATCTATCATCTATCCCTATCCATCCCTATCTATCCATCCATCTCATATCACCTATATCTATGATCCTATCTCTCACCTATCTATCTATCTATCTATCTATCTATCTATCTATCTATCACCTATCATCTAATCTATTATCTATCCCTATCCATCCATATCTATTCATCTCATATCACCTATCACCTATTTCTATTATCTATCTCTCACCTAGCATCTAATCTATCTCTCATCTATCTCTATCCATCCATCTATCCATCCATATCTGCCTGCCTGCCTACCTTACCTCTATGTACCTCCTTAACGGCTAAGCCGTACTTCACCATATAGTTTTGAGGACCAGAGTTGGAAGCCTTCCTGGTTCGCACCCGAGTCCCAGGGAGAGTGACTTTTAACCTCCCAAGGATGCTGGCGCCTTCCTAGTCTAATATCAGTTAGAAAAAGAACACGCGAGTTACTCACTTCTCGGGTGGGAAAGTTGGCTTGGGAGGACATCCATCTCAGATTCACTCTTCTCCGGCCAGATCAACCTGCTTACATCCCTTAACAGCTTTCTCGCTGGACCGTCATAAACCAGGCTGCCCTGCTACTATGGGCGTCACAACAGATGAGCTTTCCACGGTCCAAAATGCCCCCCCCCCTCTCCGGTGAAGAAGTTGGCGAGTGGCAGGTATTAAAAAAAAAATAAGACCGTTTTGTCACAACATTCTTTTATTTAGTCGTGTAACTCCTAGACGCCCCCACCGATCCTGTGCTGTTGCTTGCCAAGTGTCGTCTTTTCGCTGTCCTACCTTGCAGGGAGGGCTTTCCCCCCCCCCCATCCGGGAGACGTTCCATTCGCCCTGGGAGAATTGTATGGATCTTTCCTTGAACTTTGAAAAAAAAAAAATGAGACCCGCTTCCTTTTGCAGTGTGTGTGTTGGGGGGGGGGCAGCCATTTTTAAGGGGAGGGGGTCATGTCATCTTCCAACTTCTCACCCCCCCCCCCCGGAATCTCTATCCCCTTTTAGGTCTTCTGCTGTTAGCAAAGGACCCCTTTTAGGAGGCGTGTATGTAAATTTATGCTAATTTATTAAAATCTCGGGCCAAAAAAAAGTATCTCCCCTCACAAATTAGGCAAGTTTTTACATTTTTTTTCCCCGACTGTCGAGAAATTTAATCTAGAAAAGTCACCATTCCCATCTCGGGCACACCGCCTCTCCACATTTGTTTTTTCTGAAGCTCTTGAGGACTAGAAACTTGCGGATCACAAAGCTCAAAGTTTGACTCTCGGTGGGCGCTCCCTTCTTCTCTCAATCCCTACGGACTGAGACCCTCCCTGCCTTCTCTTTACGTGGGACGGCGAGCCACGCCAGCCCCCTCCACCCCCCCAGACAAAACCGGTCGGTTAGATTGTTAGATAGTGTTAAAAGATGCCGAAACCGGGATTAGCTGACAATCCGGTTGTCTTAACGAGAAAAAAAAAGGGGGCTCTAGGATTTATTTTTTTGCCTTAGCAGCGAGAAACTACGCTAGTTTTTTTTTTTTGTCGTCTTTTTTTTTTTTTTGCCCAGATGTGGCCCCAAAAAACTAAAAGAATAAAAAAAAAAAAAAAAAAGAATACGGGGGGGAAAAAAAAAAAAACCAGAATGCATAGGAGGAAAAGGGGGGAGGGGGGAAGAAAGGAAAAAGACGGGAGGAGGGAAAAAAAATATATATAGTTCGTTGAAAATTTGGCCGCCCTGTTTCTTCTCACGCCTTGGATTTTTCTGCGTTTTCCTGCCTCTTGTTTTCTCGTGCCTGGAACCGCTGGCTCAGCTCCGCGGTGAAGACGGAACAGCAGGATCTCTGAGGGCGACAAAAGGGGGGGGGGGGAAAGGAGGTTAAAAAGGGACAGGATCGGAGGTCCTTTCCTTCTGCAGCGGGACGGCAAAGCCCATCGAATAAATTTGATTGGCATTGGGGAGGGCCAGTCTAGAGAAAATGGGGGACGGGACATGACAGCGGTCTTCCAGGATTTGAGGGGCTGCCCCAAAGAAGAGTTGGGGGGGGGTGTCCCACTTCTTCTCCAAAGCACCAGAAGGCAGGAAGAGAAAGAATGGATGGAAAGGAATTCAGGAGAGAAGCAATCGGGAATTAAGGAGGAGCTTCCTCATTAGGATAACAGTTAGCCAGTGGAACCTCTTGCCACCAGATGTTGCGGGTGCTCCATCAGCGGAGGTTTTTAAGAAGAGGCTGGACAGCCACATGTCTGAAATGGTCTAGGGTCTTCAGCTTGAGCAGGGGGCTAGACTAGAAGATCTCCAAAGTCCCTTCCGGCTCTATTCTGATTGATTGAAACGGTCTACGGTCTCCTAATTGAGTAGGGGGTTGGACTAGAAGACCTCCAAGGTCTCTTTTCCAGCTCTATTCTGATTGATTGATTGAAAAAAAACAAATCACTGACTGCAAAATGCCCGTTTACAGCTTACAACATTTACAGCTTTGGTGCTGCCCATTAACAGCTTACAACATTTACAGCTTTGCTTCTGCCCATTTATAGCTTACAACAGTTTGTTTAGTGGCCGTTCCAAGTTACAACGGCACTGGGGGAAAAAAATGACCTAGGACCGTTTTTCACACTTGCGACCATCGCAACATCCCCATGGTCATGTGATCAAACGCTTGGCAACTGGCATCTACTTATGACAGTTGAAGTGTCCGGGGGGGGGGGGGGGAAGGTCACATTATCCGCTTTTGTGACCTACTGACAAGCCAAGTAGACGGGGAAGCCAGATTCACTTCACAACCACGTTTTAACAACTGGGGAGAGAAAGGTCGTATAACGGAGCCAAATTCACGTAACTGCCTCGCTTAGGAATAGAAATGTTGAGCTCAATTGCGGTCGTAAGCTGAGGACTACCTGTGCGTTATTCAAGTGCTTGGATTCGGGCGTTCTCCATCACGATTCCCCCCCCCCCGCCGCCATCTGTGTGTGCTAGCATGGGAGAAACGGAAGCCAGCTCACCTTCTCGTGTTGGGCCGTGCGACGGCTTCGCTTGGACAGCTCGAGCGCGGCCACCAGCATTCCGGAGACGAGACCCAGCGCCAGGAAGAGGAAAATCCCCCTCAGAGTTTGGGGCTTCAGAGGACTCCATTTGTCGTGGTCTTCGTGAGAACAGCTGCTCTCCCACCATTTGTTGCGGAGATAGTCCAGCTCTCCGGATTCGCCGAGTCTCAGGATGGCCACGGAAAGTTTGTTGGTCCAGGGGGATCCTAAAGAGAGAGAAAGGGAACAATTTAACGGACCCG